CATGATTCCTTGTAAAAGGTTTCAGTTTGGTGTTTTAACAACTTAACAACTTAACACCTGTTCTGTTGCCAGATTCAAGGGGAAAACCTATGATCATATTTTGGTACTGGCAAATGAGGTCCCATGATGTCAAGGCCGTATTTATAATAAATATTGGGGGGGACCCATCCCCCCCAATATTCAAATACTGTATGCTTAAAATGCCCCCCCTCCCAATATATTGCTATAATATAGATTTCTGTTTATGATTATGGTTATGGTTGTACTTTATTCATCCCTAATCTCTGCCATGACATACAATGAAACAAGAAAAGGTAAAAAAAGAAAAAATAGAGGAATGTAATAAAATACGCTATTAGACATTATTGTAAAAAAAAAATCCATCCTATGTGTGAGTGATTTTTTTAATATTATAGGCAGGGAATTCGTTTTCAAATTTAGATTTTTTTTCTTGGGGGGTGGGGGGGGAGACTCCCAGACTCTCTGGAAGATTTGGTCCCCCCAAATGTTGACTCCAAGGCCACGGCCTTGCATGATGTAGATATAACTGACTTTGTTTCATCAAGCCCTATGCATGCATTAACATTATATAACAAAAAATAAGAATGAGAACCAAAGGGGTTGCAAGGCTGCAGTTGAGGTTAAGAACCTCTGCTCTATAGGGAAAGGGGAGTTTGGGGTGGGGTGGAGAGGGCGGAGTGATCTTCGGATGCAAGAGTTCCACAGAGCGAGGTCCACTTAGATTCCAAGCGAATGGACGCAATCATGCGGTTGTGACCTCAAAGCGCCCACTCGGTAATCGACCCTTGACCCAAGAAACCTATGAGATCTGCCTCCCCCACCCCCCCACTCCTCCCCACTGCCCCACCACTTCCCCAATCAAAGACAAAAATGCCCCGTAAAGTCTCTCATAGACTTGGGGCAAGTGCTGTTAGCGAACGCTTATGAAGGCCGGTGCGACACACAAACAGGTGGTTTGGTGGTTAACACCACGCCCGGCCACCTTTGTCTCCCCAGGGCTGACGTTTACACCAAGGTACTCATTTTTAAGGCTGCGTAGACCTAGGCGAAGCCCAGGACCGGTTCAGATACAGACGCCACTGCTATTGGCCGTGAGCGGGAATCCAACTCGGGGCGTTGGGTTCGTAGCGCAGTGCGCTTACTCCGCGCAGCAAACCATCGGCGTGCAGTGATCACGGTTGATTGCCCCAACGGCGTCGAGCGCCGCGCGCACGGAATCCGGGAACGCGTTTCGAACCGTCGGACCAGCGTGAACGGGGAGGCCAAAAACACCTGCTGGACTCTAGCGGGGCTCTCTCTCTCTCTGTAGTGGAGGACCTTCAACAGTGGCGTGGCCCAGCTTAACTTGGGGGCGCCGCGGTGGCGAGATGCCACCTCCCTCGCCTGGCGTCCAAGAAGGATCGTGGGTTCGATGCCGAGCCCCGACGTCTGCTGTATATTTGGAGTTTTTGCATGAAATATAAAAACAAAGGAGTCACAATTCGCAGCGGCGCGCGGTGATCTCCTACCGAGTGGCGCTTCCGCTCAGAATGGCAACACGGTCGTCAGTGCTGCAGACAGCGCTTTTGGTGTCGTGTGGTGGAGCAAAGACAAAGATTCCCCGTATAGCCTTAACAGGCTGTAGGGGCAAGTGCTGTTAGCGAGTCACCTATGAAGGCCGGCACGGCACACGAGAGGGGTGAGTGGCCAACACCACGCCCGGCCGCCTTTGTCTCCCTCGTGGCGATGTTTACACACCGCACCGGGTACTCATTTAGAGGCTGAGTCTACCTAGGGGAGGGCCCAGGACCGGTTCAGATAAAATCGTCACCGGTGTTGACCGTGAGCGGGAATCGAACCCGGGTCGCCGGGTTTGTAGCGCAGCGCGCTAACCGCTACACCAGCGCGCACACACACAGATGCAAAGGTCCCCCGTATAGCCTTTAACAGCCTGTTGGCGCAAGTGCTGTTAAAGAGCGTCCTACTAAAGCCCGCACACACACACACCGGCACATACACGCACACACACAAACACACACACACACCGGCACAGACACACACACGCGCACTGACAGACGCGCGCCCGCACACACACACGGGCACCCACACCGCCACCCAACGCACGCGTCTGTGATCACAAATACCGCGCGTCCGACGAAGCGCACATAGTTGGTGGCGAGTCGGGCGAACCCCAGCCCCGCCTCCCAGTCACCCACCATCACCTCCGCCCTTCCAGCACGCCAGCCCCTCTTACCTCCCCCCTATTTATCCCCTGCACCCCCCTGCTGTCCCCGACGTGCTACCTTCATCCCAGGTGCGATCTTCAACTCCGCTGTCTCCGCGTCCCTCCAGGTGAGATTGATGGCGGTGGTGATCGTGACGGCGTCCCCCGACTCGCCGTCCCTCTTGGGGCGTTCACGCGTCGTGTTGATTTACAATAACACCGTGTCGCCCGCGACGTGCGAGTCGCCTGCAACGCGTCGTGATTGCTCGCAGCGTGGCGGTTTTTGGTTGCCGGCGACAGTCGCAGTCACGACGCGTGCATTCCGGTATCAGAATTTTAGACTGGAAGAATCCGATGAGCTGTGAAGCTCTTTTTTTCACAGCCATCCAGTAGTTTCGCAGATGTGCGGTCGTACAAACAACGGGGATGCTGAGTCGCGTGGAACAGGCGAACGTCGCCGACATAACAGGAGCGGCTTCAAAAGAAAACGAATCTGGCTTGGGCGAGGGCACAGCGTGGCGAGCTGGGATGATGGTGGTGACGACGATGTTGAGAACGGAATTTAAGCTGGCAAAGCAGAGGAGAGATCAGAGAGAGAGAGAGAGCGATGTGATGATATACGGTGTGTGTGTGTGTGCAGTTGTTGAATGAGATGGATTTGTAGTGGCGGTGCAGTACCGTGACCGCTTTCGCGACAGCGTAGGGTGCCGTCATCCAGCAGTTGATAGAGCGTGGCTTTGATGACGAACTCTGCTACAGATGATGATTTTTTCGGCTGCCGTGTCTGACGATGATTTGTTTGTTATATAAGACTGCGCGATTAAGTAAACGCACGGATACATTCTGGAATATTCTCAACAACCAAAAACCCAAAGCCTTTAACAGACTGCTGGGGCAAGTGCTGCCAGCGAGTAACACCTACCCCCCACCCCCAACACTACCTATACTCGGAAGTCAAAAATAAACAATGAACGCGCTGGAGCCGCGCGCTGTTCCTTCCAAAGCGATTTGGCTACGGCTTGAGACCCCCCTCCTCCTCACCCCCCTCACCGCCCCCCGCCCTCTTCATCCCCCCCCGCCGCCGTTCCTCCTCGTACACGAGATGAGACGCTAACAAGGAGACCGAGCAGACAGGGTTCACGGTCGCACGCTACAATCCTGTCCTGGCTGTGATGCGGCAGAGAGTTGCCGCATCATAGCCAGGACAGGAAACGCCGATGCGTTTGTCCGGTTGTGCCGTCGTACGATTTGGGCACGATGTCCGACGTTTCGGTCCACGTGTTGGAAACAAATTCAGGGTACTGCATTCTCTAATTATGGCCTCCGCTTTTGAGCTCATCATCATCATCATCCTCTTCATACATGATGTATCCAATGTTGGACGAATGACTCACGAAGCCGTTAATTATACCATTAAGTTCCAGTCACATGTCGTGGGTGTGAGAATTATATTTTTCAGGACGGACGTTTACTTTTTGATATTTACTGTATATATGACGTGTTGTAGGGTTGCGCCGCTTGTGTTGTTCAACACGATGTCCGACGTTTCGCACCACGTTCCTGAAGAAGCGCGTGGAGCGAAACGTCGGACTTCGTGCCGAACAACACGCGGCACCGAACCCGCAGACGCATCGGAGGGCTGTTACAGACAGCGGCTCCGTGACTCTGCATCACAAAACGGAGTGGGGAATTACTTCCAAAGTGAGGCGACGTGTTTCAACTGCTTAACACACACACACACACGGAGGCGCGCGGCTCCGTTTTAAAACTACGCAACAATCCTTTCTCCGTAAGGAGAGCGAAGAGAGAAGGCAGATTAATAGAGTCGAGTTCACAAGATCGTTATCTGTATTAGGAAATAAAAATCAATTATAAGCAGAATTATAAATCAGACAGGTACACATGTCTGGTCCATCAGCCCATTTATTGGCTTTCCTGACCGATGCCACCGGGCAGCACTTTGTTTAAGTAAGCAAACTCGGGACCGGTTTCGACTTCATGGGTCTCATCAGCATAGGGAGAGTCAGGTTAAACAAATGTTGCTGAGTTAGACCAGATGTTATTGGCAAAGGCACTGCGTCTACACGACTGAGTTCCTGCTTTACTTAATTTGAGCCGGCCTTGTTTAGGGTCGGGCGAGCCGAAAAATATAGCCTCACCCGGCACACAACATTCAGTATACATATCGCTATGGCCGTGGCTACGGTACTACTCACTTGGCTACTACTCTAAATTTATACCACGAGTGATTCCTGAAGAAATAAAAAAAACATCGGTGGGGGAAATGAGGCCGTGTGGTCCCAGGTATATCTCTACGTTCGTACACCCGCCGACTCAAACACCACAACGCCACGTGCCCACCAATTAACCTGCGTGCGTGTGCATGATGAGGTGCTCCTAAGCAGCAATTCCCGCAATAGCCGGTTCAGGCTATAACGGAGGATTTTTGTTTATTGCATGATGGGGAGCGATGGCGCAGTGGTTAGCGAACTGCGCTACGACCCGAGTTCAATTTATGCTCACGGCCAATACCAGTGACGATTATGTGAACTGGCCCTGGGCCTCTCCTAGGTCCACTCAAGCCTAAAAAATGAGTACCTGGTTCGGTGTGTTAAAATCGCCACTGGGGAGACAAAGGCAGCCGGGCGTGATGCTGGCCAACCACCCCATCGTGTGCCACTTGCGCCAGGTTTCATAGGTGCTACACGCTAACAGCACTTGCCCCAACAATTCTAAGTCTATATGGGGGGATCTTTGTCTTTGTTGGAAAATCCAGCATGCAGAAGAACACGAAGTTGGCCCTCGCCTCGGCGATTCTTCTCGTGAGCCTCGCAGTGGCTCTCATCCTGGGTCTCACCCTGGGTCTTCGTCGCACCGATCCGACCCCCGTGACCCCCCCGGTGACCCACTCGTACCACAGCGCCGCCGTGGCAGCCGATGCAGGGCCGTGCTCCGAGGTCGGGAGGTGAGAGAGGAGATGGAGATTGCACCGTGGCCCGAGCTGGCCTGGGGAAATGACCTTTCGACCCCCCCCCCCTCCCCCCCCACCTATTGCTAGCCTGGATTTCCTGCCGTGAGAGGGCTTTTTAAATCGAGACAACCACCAGTGCAGGGAGGGCGTTGGTGTCAGGGGGTGCAGGTGGAACGAATTTAAGAGTGTTCTAAATTTAAAATAAAAAAAATTCTGATAACACGAAGGCCACAATAATAGCAATAATTATGGTGGTGGTAGGGAATGCAGGTGGAACGAATCTAAGAGTTCTAAATTTAGAAACCAAAATTATGATAAGATGAAGACCGTAATCATAGCAACGATGCTGATGATACCGTCATTAAAACTAAAGTACACCATTTTTATTTGACCACGAAAGACCCACTGAGCTGCGTAGCTCTTTTTCAGAAGCGACCTGGCCACAAATGACAGCTCAACGAAGTGGCTTATCACGTGGAAATTTTTAGCAGACAAATACTCTAAACGTATTTTGATTATAAATGTGGAGGGGAAAAGCGGAGGAACCGGATAAAAATCCACGTGACCACGAGGAGAACATGCAAAACTCCAAATATGCAGGCGTCAGGGTTGGGATCGAACCCACGACCTCTTGCATACCAGGCGAAGGAGTTAACATCTCGTGGTGGCCTTTCCGCCAGCAATTGCATGGGCGAACAGCGCTGCGCCTTTACCTTTAGTCTGCGATGAGCCCCAGTGAGCTGTGGGCCTTAAAGAGGATCCAGCATTGGGATGTTTGGAGTATTCCTGTTTGGGATGTGCGTGTGAGGAAGGCAATCCGAGTGTTTGTGTAAAAAGCTAGCGGAGTAATAATTCACCCTCCATTTGGCGTCCGATGAATTGTCATGATTCGGGGCAGCGTTTCGAATTAAAGAAATTTATTTTAAAAGATTGCATTGTATTTGTGGCCAACCTACACTACTGGGTGAGGGGTCCCTTCGGGGTGTCAGTGACCGACTCCCAGCCTAGAGCCACCGGCCCAAGTAGCCCTGACTCAGTAACCCTGACTCAGTAACCATGACCCAGCAACCCTGACTCAGCAACTCTGACCCAGGAGGCTTGACCCAGTGGCCCTGACTCAGTGACCCTCACCCACGAGCCCTGACCCAGTAACCCTGACCCAGCAACCCTGATAAAATATGAACCAGACCTACCCCAGTCACCCTGTCCCAGGAGACCTGACTCCGTAACCCTGACTCAGTAACCCTGACCCAGGAGGCTTGACCCAGTAGCTCTGATTCAGTAACCCTAACCCCGTAACCTTGACTCAGTAACCGTGACCCAGCAGGCTTGACCCAGTAACCCTGACCCAGGAGGCTTGACCCAATAACCCTGACCCAGTAACCCTGACCCACGAGCCCTGACCCCCCCCCCCCCCGCCCCGTGGGCCGCAGGGACGCGATGAAGGACGGCGGCTCCGTGGTAGACGCAGCCATCGCGGCGCTCCTCTGCGTCGGCCTCTTCAACGCGCACAGCATGGGCATCGGCGGCGGGGCCTTCTTCACCATCTACAACGCCTCCACCGGTGTGTGTTCGTGTTTGGGTGTGAGCGTGTGTGTGAGCGTGTGTGTGTGTTTGTTTGAGCGTGTGTGTGTGAGCGTGTGTGTGTGTGAGCGTGTGTGTGTGTGAGCGTGTGTGTTTGTTAATGTTGGGAGCGGTAGTGCAGCGTTTAGCGCTATGCTGCGCTACGAACCCGGCGAGTTCTGAACCGGTCCCCGGCCTCCCCTAGGTCGACTCAGCCTCAAATGAGTACCTGGTGCGGTGTGTAAACGTCGCCACTGGGGAGACAAAGGCGGCCGGGCGTGGTGCTGGCCACCCACCCCCTCGTGTGCCGTGCCGGGCTTCATAGATGCTCGCTAACAGCACTTGCCCCAATAGTCTGTTAAGGCTATACGGGGATCTTTGTCTTTTCTGCGTGCATTGCACCAACAGACAATGAGGCTAAACGGCTGGGGGGGGGTGTGGTTGGGCGGAGATGGTTGTTTAAAATCTAAACATTGTCTGCACTGAGTTTGCGTGCGCCATGATGAGTAAGCACGAAGTGACGATCGATCTTTATCGCTCACGTAAACCCCCTTTTTCCTGCCCATCCTCGCAGGGACAGCGGAGTTTATAAACGCGAGGGAGACGGCTCCGCTCAACGCCACGGAAAACATGTTTGGGAACAACTCTGACCTCTCTCTGACCGGTACCTCCATCGTCTACCCCACCCGCCCACCAGTGCCGGATGAAGCTAGTGCGGGGCCTGTAGCATTTATTTAATAAAGGGACCCTAAATAAAAAAAAACACACATTTTTTTTACTTGCATAGTAAATTGTATTTTTTCATTTTCTATACAGCCAGATAATACGCTAACATTTAAACACCCAGTCGTTCATAAAAGTTGAAGGTGGTATAGTACTATAGTAATAGAGCAAGTGCAGAATCACTGAGCCGGAATTGATAGCTTGAAAGCATTTAGCGCGGGGCCCTTGAAAGTGCGGGGCACGTAGCTACTACTACACGTGTAGCTACTACTACACGTGTAGCTACTACTACACGTGTAGCTACTACTACACGTGTAGCTACTACTACACGTGTAGCTACTACTACACGTGTAGCTACTACTACACGTGTAGCTACTACTACACGTGTAGCTACTACCACACGTGTAGCTACACGTGTAGCTACTACTACACGTGTAGCTACTACTACACGTGTAGCTACTACTACACGTGTAGCTACTACTACACGTGTAGCTACTACATATTTAGCTACTTTTGCTACTAGTATCATCCGGCACTGCCTCCCACTACGCAAACTCTCACGTCAATAGCACTCACAGGCGATGGTCCTCAGGATGCTCTGCGTGGCTCAAATTTCACCTGGGAAGTCAGAATCAGAAGACGTATTTATCCGGGAGGAATCCGGTGAGCTGTGAAGCTCTTTTTCACAGGTGTCCAGTCGGGGGCGGGCAAGAACGTTACGACAAGTCTCACTGAGCACGGACACATAACACGTCCCCGAATGACGTGCGTCAGTCACTCCCTCGAGAAATTACTCACAGGGGCAGTGGGGAAAACAAAAACCAGCATCATCAGCCATGGTCAATCCACTGCTGGATGAAGACTCTCCCTCCCCAAGCCATCGCCGCCTCTCACGATCCTGCGTTGGAATGTTCGGCCGTAGGCGGACGTCCGTTCCTTGGCTTGCCACTCCGTTGTAAATGATGGCTCTGGCTCTGGCTCACCGGTTTCGCTTCACAAAAGTCTTGGGAACGAACGATTTGTAAACGATGCCCCACGTGAGCGGCGTGCCGTGGTGTGGAAACACGCGGTGTGTGTGTGTGTGCCCCCGCGCGCGTTGCCACAGCGCGGGGGCACAGGTGGCGCACCTGCCGGCCATCTCAGTCAACCCGTGGCACCACCTGGGGTTTGTGCCGCGACCTCTTTCGCAGCAGCGAGCCTTCGACGCTTGCACGCGACGGCCACGAAGCGCACCTAGCCTGGCACAGGCGCCGTGGGCGACGTCGTCGCCGCCGCGGTCGCTGCCGTGGCGAGTGGGGCGGTGGGTCGCGCGCCGCGTGCCACAAGTGACGGTGCCGTTGCGGTCGCGGTTTTTTGCGGCGCGGCTTCAGGCGGGCTGGCAGTCGCCGTGCCCGGCGAGCTCCGCGGCTACGAGCTGGCGCACCGCCGACACGGGCGCCTGCCCTGGGCGCGCCTCTTCCAGCCGAGCGTGGGCATGGCGCGACAGGGCATCCGCGTGAGCGGCGCGCTCGCCGCGGCCATGGAGTCCGCCCGGGGGGAGATCGAGTCGAGGCCGTCGCTCTGGTGAGGAACTCGAGCGGGAGTCGTCGTGCCGCCGCCGCTGCCGCTGCTGCTGCTGCCGCCGCTGCTGCTGCAGACGTTGCCTCAACCGCAGAGTCTCACAGACGCCCCTGACCGAGAGCGAACCAAAGAGTTCAACCTCGAGTGACGGTCATCCGTCGCAATACCCACACGATGAGAGAGAGAGAGAGAAGGAACAAACAAACAAAAAACCCATCCACTTTCGTATTCTTTTGGGTCTTTTCGGTAAAGTCACGTAGATAGGTTCAAAGAAAATAACAAAAAACTACGACGTTTCGATCGCAACGCAAGCGGTCGTCATCGGGCTGAAAAAGGGAGAGGAAAGCTGCTGAGGCAGACTGTTTTAAAGGTTTCAAATGGGTCTAGCCCAAGGGTCATAAACGACGTGGCTTTTACCGAAAGGACCAAAGAGTGTGGATTCCTGCAGTCGCGAAAGCTTCAAAATCAAGATTGGGGCTATTTACGTTCACGTGAGAAATGAGCGTGCTCACGTGAGATCGGATGGACGATCTCCTATGACGAGCGCGCGGAGGTGGCTATGTTAATGCGAGAGAAATGAGCGTGTTCACGTGAGATCGGATGGACGATCTCCTATGACGAGCGGGCGGAGGTGGCTATGTTAATGCGAGAGAAATGAGCGTGTTAATGCGAGATCGGATGGACGATCTATGACGAGCGCGCGGAGGTGGCTATGTTAATGCGAGAGAAATGAGCGTGTTCACGTGAGATCGGATGGACGATCTCCTATGACGAGCGTGCGGAGGTGGCTATGTTAATGCGAGAGAAATGAGCGTGTTAATGCGAGATCGGATGGACGATCTCCTATGACGAGCGCGCGGAGGTGGCTATGTTAATGCGAGAGAAATGAGCGTGTTAATGCGAGATCGGATGGACGATCTCCTATGACGAGCGCGCGGAGGTGGCTATGTTAATGCGAGAGAAATGAGCGTGTTCACGTGAGATCGGATGGACGATCTCCTATGACGAGCGCGCGGAGGTGGCTATGTTAATGCGAGAGAAATGAGCGTGTTAATGCGAGATCGGATGGACGATCTCCTATGACGAGCGCGTGGAGGTGGCTATATTAATGCGAGAGAAATGAGCGTGTTAATGCGAGATCGGATGGACGATCTCCTATGACGAGCGCGCGGAGGTGGCTATGTTAATGCGAGAGAAATGAGCGTGTTAATGCGAGATCGGTAGAGCCGCGGCCACGTCAGCGCACGAGGTGGCTGAGAAATTTAAACCATTATTGACACGCTAATGTCTCTCACATTAACATAAATAGCCCCGCCCACTTCGTTTATGACCCTTGGGCTACACCCATTTGAAACCTTTAAAACAGTCTGCGTCAGCAGATTTACTCTCCTTTTTTTTCAGCCTGATGACGACCGCGTGCGTTGCGATCGAAACGTCGTAGTTTTTTTAATTTAATTTATTTTTTTATTTTCTTTGAACCTATCTACGTGACTTTACCGAAAGACCCAAAGAATATGAATTCCTGCAGGCACGAAAGCTTTAAGTCAACATTTGTTTGTTTTTTTTTGTCGTCGACGAAGTCGTTTGTCAGCGTTTCGTTTTTTTCGACGCTGTCTGCCGTCGATGTCGCCACCCCGTGGCTTCGCAGCGAGGTGTTTTGCGACGAGTCGGGGAAGGTTCTGCGCGAGAACGACACGGTGAGGTTCACCAAGCTGGCCGACACGCTGGAGGTGATCGCCAGGGAAGGCGCCGACGCCTTCTACACCGGCTCGCTGGCGCGCAACATCAGCCGCGACATCCAGCGGGAAGGTGGGCGACCTGCCTGCTGTGCTGCCTCGCGTTACGTTTCATGGGGTCGGGTGGCAGTGAGTGGGGAGTGGGGGGCGGGCTAGGGATGTGATTGGGGGGGGGCTCTAAAACAACAAAGCTCCCCCGTGTAGCCTTCATAGACTGATGGGGCAAGTGCTGTTAGCTAACACAAACAAAAAATAAAGCTCCCCCGTGTAGCCTTCACAGACTGTTGGGGCAAGTGCTGTTAGCTAACACAATCAAAAACTAAAGCTCCCCCGTGTAGCCTTCACAGACTGTTGGGGCAAGTGCTGTTAGCTAACACAAACAAAAACTAAAGCTCCCCCGTGTAGCCTTCATAGATTGTTGGGGCAAGTGCTGTTAGCTAACACAACCAAAAACAAAGCTCCCCCGTGCAGCCTTCACAGACTGATGGGGCAAGTGCTATTAGCTAACACCTTTGAAAGCCGGCACGGCGCACGAGGGGGTGGGTTGACAACACCACGCCCGGCCGCCTTTGTCTCCTCCAGTAGCGATGTTTTTACACGTCGCACCAGGTACACATTTGAGACTAAGTCGACCTAGGAGAGGTCCAGGACTGGTACAGATAATCGTCATCGGTGTTGGCCGTGAGCTGGAATCGAACTCGGCCTCAAATGAGTACCTGGTGTGCGATGTGCAAACGTCGCCGCTCGGGGAGACAAAGGCGGCCGGTGGAGCTGTGCTGGCCACCCCCCCCCCCCACTCCTGCCGTGCTCTGCCGGCCTTCGTCGGCGCTCGCTGACAGCCCTTGCCCCAACAGAGGGCAACACGGGGGGGTGGGGGTTGGCATCTTTGACCCGTTTGTCGCCGTCTCTCACCAGGTGGCATCGTGACGATGGAAGACCTGGAGCGCTACCAGGCAGAGCTCGTACTGGAGCCGCTGCGCTCCGAGCTGGACGACTACGTCATCTTCACCCCGCCGGCCCCCTCCAGTGGCCCCGTGCTCACCCTCATCCTCAACATCCTCGCCGGTGAGACTCCACCGTCGACCCCCTCGCCCCCCCCCACCCCCCATAAACGTGCTTTTAAGATTGTAACAGATTTTTTTTATTAGGCGAGTATTTTTTATATTTTTTTTGGCCGCTATACATTTCCGCAATGACAAGCCACTTTGTTGAGCTATCATTTGTGGGCCAGGTGGCTTCTGAAAAATAAGTTAATCAGCTCAGTGGGGCTAGATGAAAAAAAAAAAGTACAGTTTTATTTGTAGATTTTTTTTTTGCTCTCCAATCGTGTTTTTGTGTTGTTTGTTGTTGTAACATTCTGACCCGCCCCTACTGGACATCAGTGAACCAGAGCTTTAAAGCCCATCGGATTCCTCCTGCAGTAGGAATAAACATTCACACTCCGGTCTTCTACCTGGTGAGCCAGGTTTATGTCATCTCCTCGACGCTAACGCGGGGGGGAGTCAGCTCGCGTGGCGGTGCTAGGTGGGGATTGATACATCGCTCAACTGAGAGATGGCGACAGCCTGGGAAGGCTTTCATCCAGCAGCGGATAGATCATTTCACGACGACGACGACGACGACAATCCCATAGCGAGCGCCTCTCGTCTCTGCGCTCCAGGCTACAAGATGACGTCGCGGAGCCTGGACGAGGAGCAGAAGTCCCTCACCTACCACCGCATCGTCGAGGCGTTCAAGTTCGCCTACGCCAAGCGCACCGAGCTGGGCGACCCAAACTTTGTCAACCTCACCGACGTACGGACCTCCGAGCCGGCCCACAACCCCTCGCTCGCTCGCTCGCTCGTTCGTTCGCGCGCGCACGCACGCAACTCGCGAGCGGCCTACATAATCGGACGTTGTAAAAACACGTTAAGAGCGATGGGGTCGATTAATCTCTCCCCCGCCACGTCTCTTCCCCCCCCCCGTCCCCGGCGTCGCATCAGCTGATGAAGAACGTCACGTCGAAGGACTTTGCCGAAGCGCTGCGGCAGAAGATCTGGGACAACGCGACGCACGGCGTGGAGTACTACGAGCCGACGTTCTACGTGCCGGAGGACAGCGGCACGGCGCACCTGTCGGTGGTGGGGCCTGACGGCAGCGCCGTCTCCGTCACCAGCACCATCAACTTCTAGTGAGAGGCCGCCGCACGGCTACGGCCGGAGGAATTATTTTCCCATGTTTTTTTTTATTTTGACCAGGTAAGGCCCACTGAGCTATGTAGCTCTTTTTCAGAAGCGACCTTGCCACGGATGATAGCCCAACGAAAGCGGCGGCTTATCACGTGGACATTTGCAGCAGCCACATGCTCTGAACGCGTGGATGTTGATTCTAAATGTCGAGGGAAAAACCGGAGGACCTGGAGAAAAATCCACGCGACCACGGGGAGAACGTGCAAACTCCAAATTTACAGGCGTCAGGGACGCGATCCGACCCACAACCTCCTGTATACCGGGCAAGACAGTTAACATATCAGCATCGCAGCGATTGATCAGTTATTGAAAATCTAAAACTATTAAACTATTTTTTATTTTAGCAGGTAAGGCCCACTGAGTTATATATACATAATTTACGTCCTCCCCCCCCCCCCCCGTGGGATTTGAAGGCGTTATATTTTGTTGTTGTTTGTTGTTGTTGACTAAATACGACTGCTTCAGATTTCGCTCGTCACTCACGTTAGCCGTGGCTGTGGGAATCGAACTCATGTGCTCGGGTTCATAGTGCAGTGTCCCAACCGCTGCGTCGCCACTTCCCCCCCCCCCTCCTCTACTGCCCCTTGCCCTAAACATATACACAGCGTATATAGAGTTCAATATATATAGGGCAAATAAATAAAAGTATTTTGATTTAAAGCTTTCGTGACTGCAGGGATTGATATTCTTGGTTCTTTCGGTAAAGTCACGTAGAAGGGAAACAATAAAACAATAAAAAAAAATATATAAAACAATTAAAGTAAATATAAAACAATTAAAATATGTTGAACTTCTCTTGCACCGTACAGATGTGCAGAAGCGCATCTGAAAGCGCGTTGATGCGGAGACCGTCTTTGTTCAATGGCCAGCCAAAAACTTCTGCTGCGAGGATGACTACCGGAGTTCGCGTGATGATGGTTTACGCTCCTTTACGAGATCGAACGAGGTTAGCCGTGGCTGGGAATTGCACTCATGTACCCGGGTTCATAGGGCAGTGTGCTCACCGCTGCGTCGTCACTTCCCTCCCCTCCGTCTCCTGCCCCTTACCCTGTATAGAGTCAAATAAAAATCTAGGGTAAGTAAATGTGTGGAGTGTCTCCCTCTTTCTTCGGTAATTTCCCCCTCTATCCGCCTGCCACTTGAATCATGCGAATAATAGCTGGAAGGGTCGCACCGCTGCCAATTTTTTGCGCCGTTCAGCGTCGTCCCTCGTCGCTTTCGCGTCCTTCGCCGACGGCGCTTCAGAATCTGCCGTCCCACGGCGGGCTTTCGCCCGTGGCCGTCGATCGCGGCCGACCGGGCCGGTTTTCTCCGGTCCGCCTCATCGCTTCCGTCCGTTTCTCTTCTCATTTCCCCCCCCCGCAGCTTCGGCTCCAAGGTGCGGTCCCCCTCCACCGGAATTATTTTCAACAACGAGATGGACGACTTCTCCTCGCCGTACATCGTCAACGGCTTCGGGGTGCCCCCGTCGCCGGCGAACTTCATCAGGCCCGGTGAGGATCAGAATCGGAATCGTCGGAATATTTTTTTTAGAGCAGGGAGGAGGAATCCGATAAGCTATACAGCTCTATTTCGCAGATGTCCAGGAGGTGCACGGGGCAAGAACGTCACAACAACAATTGAGATAAAAACACGATAGCAGTGCAAATCACAGACATTGCTGCCAACTAGCAACAGGTGGGTCAGAACTTTCACCAGTTTTGCGTCTCGTTAACCGCGTACAGAGGCCCCATTCAGTCTCCTGGCGTTCGCGGATAAAACAACTTGGCGAACCGAGTTCGATTCCCGCTCACGGCCAACACCGATGACGATTATATGAACCGGTCGTGGGCCTTCCCCCCCTAGGTCGACTCAGCCTCAAATGAGTAGCTGGTGCGGTGTGTGTAAACATCGCCACTGGGAAAACACTGCGGTCTGGCGTTGTGCTGGCCACCCACAATCTTCGTGTGCCGTGCCGGCCTTCATAGGTGCAACTCGCGAGCGGCACTTGCCCTCAAAAGTCTGTTAAGGCTACACGAGGGACCTTTTGCCTTTGTGGATCTCTGCGTGCAGGGAAGAGGCCGCTGTCGTCCATGTGCCCCACGCTGATCGTTGACAAACAGAGCCGGGTGAAGCTGATCGTGGGAGCGTCCGGAGGCACCAAGATCACCACCGGCACGGCGCTGGTGAGTGAGAGAGAGAGTGAGAGCGCTGGTAAGTGGGTGGGCGAGAGAGAAAGAGAGAGAGCGAGAGAGGGCAGGTCATTTGGTGAATGGGTCTGCGTGTGTAAGCGAGTAGGAAAGCGTGTGTCCAAGTGAGGTGATTGAGTGGGTGGGTGTGTGGCTGAGTTGGTGAAGTGGATCACAAATCTCTATTTAACTCCATCAAAAAAGTAACCTGCAGCGCCACACCTATTACAATCATTAGGGGAAAAAACGGTGATCCAATCTCCGACCCCCAGGAACAGGTTTGCAGTTTTGCTGAGCATTTCTGTGAGGTGCTGGGGGAGGGAAAATCCCTCAGCCAGGAAAACATCGTGGCACAAAGTGGGGATGACCCTCAAATATTGGAAGAAGTCACCCCCTGTGAGTGGCTGGCTGAAGTGCCATCTGTTGAGGAAGTACTGAAGACGATCCGGAGTCTGAGACCAGGAAAGGCACTGGGCAGAGATGATCTCTCAAGCGAAATGCTGAGGGAGGGTGGCGTTTGTGCACAGACTGCCCTATATGACATCATAACAACAGTCTGGACCACTGGACGGGTTCCGCAGGATTGGAAGGATGCCCTGGTGGTCCCCCTCTTTAAGAAGGGGGACCACACAGAATGTAACAACTACAGGGGCATCTCGCTCCTCAGTGTACCGGGAAAGGTCCTGGCAAGGATTATTCAACATCGCCTTGCCAGGCACGCTGAGGAGAGGCTTGCGGAGCCCCAATGCGGTTTCAGAAAAGGGCGGTCCTGCACAGATGCCATATTTTCTGTCCGTCTGCTACAGCAGAGGTGTAGGGAATTCCAGCAAGACCTACATCTCTGCTTTATTGACCTGGTCAAGGCCTATGATACCATCAGTAGGCCTGGGCTCTGGGTTGTTCTTTGTGCTTTTGGAGTCCCTGACCCTCTGCTCACGATCATTAAGGACCTTCATGATGGTGAGCAGGCCCGGGTAAAACTACGTGGCCGGGAGTCCGAGCCATTCCCTGTACACCTTTGGGTGCAACAGGGATGTCCTCTGGCTCCCACATTATTTAACATCTATTTTGACCACGTAGTTCGTGAAGCCTTCAATAGCTGTACCGGGGGAATGTCCATTTGGTACAGATATAATGGGAGGCTGATCGATGCCCGGGTGCGGTCAAGGGATGGCTCCCTATTGCTCAACCACGTTATGTATGCCGATGATTTGGTAATAGCTGCTCGTTCAGAGGAGGAGTTGGAGACGCTGCTGCTGAGACTGGAGCGTGCAACTAAGAGATGGGGCCTTACCATCAGCCCCACCAAAACTAAGCACCTGCCTGGGTATTTTGTACCATTGGACACTCCACCCCCACAACTCCCAATCGGTGATGGGGCAGTTATGAAGAGAGTGGAGAGTTTCCCATACCTGGGCAGTGTGCTTATGACCGGCTCCGGTTTAACAGCAGAGGTCTCACTCCGAATCAGTCGAGTGGCAATATATTTTCATCGGTTGCATAACGCTGTGTGGAAGCTACCTGGTCGGTCGCTCCGCACTAAGCTTCAGGTCTTCTCGGCCACGGTCATTCCCTCCCTTCTCTACGCTTACGAAACATGGACCCCCCGAATGGAACATCTTCGCCGGTTAGAAACATTTAGGCTAGCCTGCCTACGATCCATCCTGGGTTTAACCAGGCTGGATTGTGTGAGGAGCTCACAAATCCTTGAAAGATCTGGGCAAGATCCCATCGGTGAGCTCCTCCGGCAAGCAAGGCTGCGTTGGCTGGGTCATGTAGCCCGCATGCCCAGCCACCGCATGCCGAAACAGCTTTTATTCGGCCGGATCAAGGGGGCTAAACGGGTCAGGCATGGGCTAGAGAAGAGATGGAGTGATGTGGTACAGGAGGACGTGGAGCTGAGTGGACTTGCCGATGGCTGGTACCAGCGGTGTCAAGATCGGCCTCTGTGGAGGAGGCTCGTGAAGGACGCTACTGGGCAGTTGGAGGCAGTCGCCCTCCAACAACAACGGAGGGCGGAGGAGCGACGCTCACAACAACGAGCGGAGCGCCGGGTGGCTAAAGCACAGCAGGTTGGCACAGTAGGGGGCACAGGTGATGCATCAGCCAGCCATCTCAGTCATCTTAGTCAGTCGACCCGTGGCACTTGGGTCTGCCCCGTGACCTCCTGCCAGCGGGCGTTCGACACTTCACGTGGCCTCAAGGTGCACATGGCCTGGCACAAGCGTCGTGGAAACGTCACTGCCACTTAGTGGCGAATGGTGGTTGTTGTTGAAGTGGGTGAGTGAATCGGTATTGTGCGAGCCAAACGCAACTATTCTTTTGAGTTGCTACATTTTTTTTTGGCGGGAGGGACGGGTGGAGGGTGGGGAGGGGGCAGGTGGGCGGGGGGGGGCAGTGAAATAAATAATTTAATACATTCATTTACTTGACAAATGTCCTTTTAAGACAGGGGTTGGGAACGTCTGGCCCGCGGGCCGTATAAGGCCCACAAAATCATTTGGTCTCTGGCCCTGACAAGGCAACCGCAGGCGGGACTCGAAATTCAATAAATCTAGGGAGCAAACCTGGAAAAGCAGTTGCGAGTAGCAGCAACATCGTCAATACCAGCTAACATCATCACCACGCCTCGCCAAAGAAAAGCAGTTCCAGCCATCGCATCAGGGGCGAGTTAATGAAATGTTTGAGCAAATATAACAGGGCAAATTTTTAAGTCGATAATTTTGTATGGCCCGCGAATGATGTCGTAAATATCCCAAATGGTCCTTGGCAGAAAAAAGGTTCCCCACCCCTGTGTTAAGACAATGAATATCCGAAAACAAGGGAGGGCAAAGTTTCCACTGGCAAAGCCACGTCGCTGTAGGCCGACGGCATCCAAGGGCCCCGGGTTGACCGGTCAGGTCAGCCCACCACGCGTAGCTCCGCCAGTGATGACCCTGCGCGGGGGGGAGGGGGGGGCCTTGTTTGTTATAACGAGCGCTCGGTCGGTGGCGAATGATCCCAAGCCTCCCGCCACCGGCGCTACGTGGCCGCCGTTTGTGACACCCCCCCCACCTCCCCGCTTGGGCTCGAACCGCGACCAGGTCATCGCGAACGCGCTGTGGTTCGGCATGGACGTGGTGGGCTCGGTCGAGCACAAGAGGCTTCACAACCAGCTGATGCCCAACGTCACGGAGATCGAGAAAGGGTTCGACCAGGTGAGAGACTGCCGCGGGCGCGGTACCGGCACCGCGCGCCGAGCGAACGAAAAGTGGGGAAGGGACCCAACTTGGCGGTGCAACGAGGAGGAGCGCGGTGTCGTCAGCGGCTGGAGCACATCTGTGAGAAAAGAGCTTTACAGCTCATCGGATTCCTCCAGTATAAATAAATATTCTGATTCTGAAGGCAATGTCATGCTAGCCATACCGCCAACTGTCACGATAAGCTCCGGTTGAACAATAGCCCTGCCACTAATCCTGGCCACACGAGGCACCCAGACTCTCGGACGTGGCACGTAGAGCTCACGGCGGGTAAAGTCAGCCGCATGTCGCCCGCCTGTCGATTGACTTGGCTAAAAAAAGAATTCTTCCCACCCATCCGCGAGAAGGGAATCCATGAGCCATGGCGATGATTTGCTCACGGTTTCGCTGCTGGAGGAGGAGAACTGGATCATTGACAAGGCACTCATGTCCATCTCAGCCGAAAATATCGCGCTTGCCACACCTTGGAGGGGTCGTTGGCGTTGGGGCTCATTGCGCTGCTGCGACCACCACCATCGCAGCTCAAGTGACCGAGCGGTAGCGCATTAGCTGCCGCTCGTTGCAGAGCTTCGCGGTTCGAACCCAGTGTCCGCCCTGGTTAATGCTGCGGGTTGAATCGACCGTAAAACATGCGGGCCGTCTGCTTTGCGGTGGACGTCAAAGATGCCGTGACGTTGTTCTCTAGAGAGTACGGCCACGTGTACCCGCGTCATATCACGGTTCAAATTTTGAAAATTAGAAAAAAAAATACTTGCGCATTTCTTAAGTGTGTAAAGCCACCGAATAGTTAATAATTAATTTTCAGTTTGTAAAGCGCCGCGCGAAATTCGCTCACTCCCATAGAGAACGACTCAGAGGCGCGAGGAACCGCAGACGAACAGGAAGGCACCCAAGCTCTGAGATGTTATCGGTCAACTAATGAGTGTTTACGTTTGGGAGGAAACCAGAGCACCTGGAGAAAATCCACGCGTGCGAGGGGGAGACACTCTATCCCATACAGACGGAGTCACACGTGGAGTCCACACTGTGGCGGTACTGCCTCCTCCTGGCGAGCCAGGGTATGGCACCTCCTCGACTCTCACGGGGAGGAAGTTTCGCAACATCTACTGTATCAACCTTCGCCTCCACAGTGCCCGGCTTACATCGCTCCTGACTGTGAACCTACACTGCTGACTATACTGTACTCACCTGCGAGACGTTGCGCCCTTCGTGACACTGTGTGAATGACTTTGCAGGTTGTGGCGAGCGGACTACAGCAGAGGAACCACGACCTTGAGTGGATAGACTCAGCCGGATCCGTGGTGCAAGCCATCCTGCGCGATGGCAACTACTGGACGGCCCAGTCGGACTCCCGCAAAGGGGGCTACCCAGCAGGATTCTAGCCGGACACAATGCCAGATGCAAACCAGATACTAGCCAGATGCAAGGTGGATGCAAGCCAGATACCAGATGAATAGAAGCCAAATGCAAGGTGGATGCAACCGGGACATGAACCAGATGTAAGCTGGATGAAAGTCAGATCCAAGTTGGATCACAACCGGATACTAGCCAGATTCACCATGGATGCAAGGCCAATATAAAAACAGAAACTAGCCACATATTAGTCAGGTGTAAGGTAGATACAAACCAGATGTTATCCAGATACAATGTGAATCTAAAACAATACCACTCAGATGCAAGTCAGATTCACAGCAGATACAAACCAGGCACCACCCAGATGTTATACAGATACATTGTGGATGTAAAACAAATACCACTCAGATGCAAGTCAGATACACAGCAGATACAAACCAGGCACCAACCAGATGTTATCCAGATACAATGTGCAAGTGAGATACACAGCAGATACAAACCAGGCACCAACCAGATGTTATCCAGATACAATGTGGATCTAAAACAAATACCAGCCAGATGCAAGTCCGATACACAGCAGATACAAACCAGGTACTAACCAGATGTTATCCTGATACAATATGGATCTAAAACAAATACCACTCAGATGCAAGTCAGATACACAGCAGATACAAACCAGGCACCAACACAAATGCAAGCCGGAATCAACGGGAGTTATGAGGCGAAAGACAAAGGGGGTCCCAGGAGGTGCCAATGAGGCCACTGCAGGAGCCGGGACCTGGTCGCCGTTCGAGCCGGCACGTGCGTGTGGAGTAAATTTCCACGCGATAAGCCACTTTGTTGAGCTACTATCTGTGGGCCAGGTCGCTTCCGAGAAAGAGCTATGTAGCTCAGTGGGCCTTAAGTTGTAAAAAAAAAATTAGTATAGTTTGTAATATGATAATAGGTTTTTCCCATTTTTTTCTGGCAACAAAACAGGTGTCAAGATGCCAAAAGGCGTCCTCTGGGGTCTAACACCGTTTGAGACGAGGCTCAAAAGAAAGCTGTCTCTGGTGTGGACCAATCAGTTTCATAAACAATGCATATATTATCGGAGTACGTTTTTTTGTTTGCATTCTGACCACAAACATTGTGGTTAATGCAGACACGATTCCTTGTTAAAGGTTTCAGTTCGGTGTTTTAACAACTTAACACGGCTGTTTTGTTGCCAGAAAAAGGGGGGGAAAAAAAAACCTATGATCATATTTTGGTACTGGCAAAGGAGGTCCCCATGATGTATTTTGTAACAGTTTATGTCCGACACCGACGAAGCACACGTGTGGGGTCTAGGCACGACGTCGCTCGTTGCAGATGAGGTTCAAATATGTCCAAGGGACCAGCGCCAACAAAGTTCAAGGGCGGTGAGGTGCGGAGGGTGACAGCACCAATGAAGCCCCCTGAGGATCAACGATGGGAGCTGGGGGGGGGGAATTGCAGTGCCAAAGACTCATTGACATCGGCGAGTGTGGCTTGTGAATAGTATTTTCCATCGCGGCACTGGGTTGAGTGTCGGCGTATACGCATGAACCCATCGGTCGCTCAAGTCGCGCGCGCACACACACAACACTTGCTCGCTCCGCTTGTCCACCAGCCAGAGGGGACGACTCGGAGAGAGAGGCTCATAGCGGCCAGCCAGACCAGCGTTGATTTGAAACTACCGGGCGGTTTACAATGGGGGAGTGGGCTCACATCCCAGAAGGCATGGAACGCAACGTAATTAGTCTTCCAAGTAATTTGCAAATAGGATGCACGTCACTGTAATTGCAATGTTCATTACGTCAATTAGTGTCTTAATTCACCCGAAGCGTTGTAATCATCGCAGTCCACTGCTGCTGTGGAAAGAATGCCTCGTGTTTAATAACATTCGAGTTACTTAAAGGTGAAAAGAAACTACCCTGACACTGAACGTTTTGACGACGTGTTTGTTTAAAAGAAAAAGATGTATGCCAGAGAGAGGGCGTGCGTATTGTGGCCGTTTGCCAACATCTATTAAATGCTGTGATTCCTTAGCGATCGGGAATGAACTGCCCGCCAAGTCTAAATATTTATAGCCGTTTAGTTTTAACGCAGGTTTTTTTTTGCTACTGAAATAATAACACATTTTATACCACCGCTTGCAATTAAAGCACACGATGATCCGGTTAATGGCAGTATGCGGAAATGTCATTACCGTATTCTCCAGAAAATAAGAGGCCATCTCCACCCCCACCCATGTATTTTAAAGCAAATGCTCTGGTGTGTGTGTCAGTGCGGTGTAGGGAGCGGTAGTATAGCGGTTAGCGCGCTGCGCTACCCGGGTTCGATTCCTGCTTACGTCCAACACCAGTGACGATTATCTGAACCGGTAATGGGCCTCCCCTAGGTCGACTCAGCCTCAAATGAGTACTTGGTGCAGTGTGTAGTAAACATCGCCACCCGCCTCCTCGTGTACCGTGCCGGCCTTTATAAGTGCTCGCTAACAGCACTTGCCCCGACAGTGCGTTAAGGCTACACGGGGATCTTTGTCTTTGTGGATTGCGTCTGACATTCCGGAGGAGTCTTGATTTTTTTTTTTATAATCTGGAGAATATGGTAAAAAGCACGTGGAAATTTGTAGTCGTGTATTATGGTTGTGTCGATGATCGTATCAAATTGTCCATTCACATTGTGCCAGCTCGCGTGGCGCGCAATGCCAACGCAAATGCGAATTGGTCTGCACGAATTCGTAAGTGACCACTTCATTTGGCTAAAGAGTCGAGCTGGGGTTGCGAGCGAAGGTTTGTGCGCTCACGGAACCGCGAAGCTTAAAACGCGAAGGGGGCATCTGTGTGACCTGGCGGGCAGGGGTTACCGTCGTCATGAGCCGCAGGATGAGGGCCGCTCCATGTCATCACGATCCTACGATACAATCCGTCTCGCTTCTACGCGTGAACTGATCTCATCAGTGTCCATGCCAATTCTAATGTACAATTAATCGTTCTTGTCAAATATAAAATTCTAGATAAGATAGAGGGCGGGGAATGCCACCTCACCACGTGTCCCACGTGTCCCACGTGTCCACACGTGTTGAGCCTGCCAGAAATGTTGTTATCGTCACTCCTGAATGATTGCAATATTTAGTTCGTGTGGTCACGGTTGTGCAATGTAGCGACAACTGCTTCGTGGGAATGCTGTAGCAATGCCACCGAGCAATGATTGTGGCAAACGCAAACGGACCAAAGACGCGTGTTGGCAGCAATGATGTGCCGCGTGCGGACAGTTGCCAAAAGACATTTTGTGTGCACAATGGAAACGGTCGTCTTCCTGAAAGATGAGCCGAAGTCTGAACAGACATCTCGAGGAGTCGAGACCGAATGGGACTTGGACAGGCGTGGGGGACTCGCCGTGCAGCCGAAGAAGCCGCCCCACAGCGTGATGCGAAACGTCGGATATCGCGCGCCGAACGGCACCACGGAACAATCCGAGGAGACGTCCGACATGTGTCACCGCCAGTGTGCGATGCGGTCACGATGACGGTCGCATTGTTGTTCTTTTTAAAAAAAGATCGCTCTCAGAACGTCACGAACCATCACTCGTGTGACACGTGCGTATTGCGTGTGGTGGTGGCGGCGGCGGTGCCTACACGTGGCTAGGACACGTGCCGCACGATGTTTAACAACAACAACCCGTCAGCGCGCTCGCAGTCGCGGTGTGAGAGTGGCTCCGACAGCGCCGGTCACGACGCCTGCGTGTGAGTGTACATCTCAAGTTTCCTGTTGTTTAGGAAGAGAGAGAGAGACAGAGAGACGGAGAGAGAGAGAGAAAATAATACTTATATTTTCACGTGTAACGTTTTCGCAAATGGGGAAATATACATGCACAGTATTTTTCAACAAAATCGATTTCCGAGTTGTTCTTTTTCTGCCTTGCCAGCTGGTTACAAAATAACAATAATAATAATTGACAATCCCTTTTTTCTGTGAATCCACTGCCGGATGAGACCTCCTCACACACACACACAAGTCCACATCTACCAAAACGTCGACGACTACCACGTGACGGCCTCGATCCACACGACGCGTCGACCGCGGCGTGTGGATTGACCATACTTCACCACGCTGGGGCAGGAAGGCTAGTGGGGGGAGGGTGTGGGGGAGAGTTTATAAAATAACTCGCCACTGATGTCAGCCGTGGCCGGGACTCGAACTCGGTTGGCCTGCTTCGTTGAGCGCGGTTGTGTTGCGGCTGACCGCTAACGACGGCTGGCGGTGCCCTCGTCAAGTTTTAATCACAAATCGCAACTACGCCGTACAGATTTGCTCGCGAGGGGAAACAAAAAATCAGTTTACATTGCAGGTTCAGTGCGGGTGTGATCAAGCCGCGGTGTGGGGAGAGGAGGCGCTGTGACCCCCCACCCCCCCCCCCCCTGGTCATCCGAGTTCGATTCCCGCTCACGGCCACCGACGGCCAATGACGATTTATCCGAATGGGTTCTGGGCCTCTCCAAGGTCGACTCAGCCTCAACTGAGTAACCTGAGCGGGATGTGGTGCTGGTCACCCACCCCCACATCGCGTGCCGTGCCGGCCTTCGTAGGTGTCTACCCGCTCACGGCGCTTGCCCCGACAGTCTGTTACAGGCTACACGGGGGGGGGGGGGGGGGGTTGAATACTCTTTGGTTCTTTCGGTAAAGTCACGTAGGTATAAAAGTAAAAACAAAATAAATTAAATCACGACGTTTCGGTCGCAACACAAGCGCCCGTCATCAGGTGGGACAACCGCAGCAGGAAACAATTTGCTGAAGTTACTTTACCGAAAGAACCAAAGAGTATGGATCCCTGCAGTCACGACAACTTCAAATCTAGATTGAATGGGGGGGGGGGGGGGGCGTGAATCTTTGCCTTTGAAGAAGGGGTAGACGAGGTCGTGTGATTCTGCCCGGGTCAACTTAAGTCCGCACCTTTGAATGTCTTGAGTGAGTTCACGCTCGGCAGAGAACGGCCCTGACCAGTTCCACCACTGCGTCGGAAGTCTTCTCGTCCCGGCAGTGGATTGACAAGAGGGCCATTTGCCGTGCTCACAATGCAGACAACGGGAGGCGGCAAACAAGACGGCCGAGAGAGCACGAACACGTGGCCATTGAGGCGGGACCCATGGTGGAAATTCCGCGTTCCTATGGCCGGGGGTGAGGTCATCCACAAGGACATCCACCGTTGACTCTCCCACCCTCCTCATTTGTATTGACCCCCGAAGGGATGTTGAGCTGAGTCCCAACTCGCCCAACCGGGATTCTTTCAACTCGCAACTCTCTCTCTCTATCAGCCCACGTGCCCTTCCCCATCTGCCCCCCGGTACGCGTGCTCTGATGCGTTTCCAGTCGCGTCCCGCTGAAAGATGTCCGCAGTTGTTTGGCGAATCTGTGCGTGACTGTTCGCATCTATCTCGAGCCCCCCCCCCGCCCCCCACAACTTCGCAGCCTTTTTTGCAAACCTTCCCTCGCTCAAATTATCCTTATGGCGGTACCCCGGGATACCAAATAATATAACATGGGCCGAGGCAATGAAATATTTTATTTCTGGGACACTATATTTTTTTCCAGGGGTGTTACTTAACTCCGCGACTGGGGGAAACCAAATCAATCCGAAATCAGCGTCACACTCCGCGATGTCGAAACGCAGCGAGGACGATTGTGCTGAAACCCTGAACGCTCGCGGTACGCACCGTAGCGGCGCATCGTGTGCTGCTCGTCGAGATGAATCGATTGCCGCATCGCCGACCATCAACAGACTCAAAATGACTGCATCACGGACATTATGCGAGATCCGGGGTACTATGGAACCCCGGGGTACCGCCGTAAGGTTCATTTGTTGCAGCTCATTTCCATCGGTTTA